TTGTCCCTCTCTTGCTGTTTTTAAATTTTTTTCTTTATCATTGCTTTTGCCATTTTAATTACTATGAGTCTTGGTGTGGACCTCCTTGGATTGAATTTTGGGGAGAATCTCTTTGCCTCCTGGATCTGGATATCTACTCCTTCCCTAGATTAGGAAAGTTTTGAGCTATTATTTCTTCACATAAATTTCCTACCACCTTTTCTTTCTCTTCATCTTCTGAGATCTCTATAATGCATATGTTATCATGCTTGATGGAATCACAGAATTCCCTAAGACTATTCTCAATTTACATACTTTTCTTTCTTTTCTATTACCCATCTGGGTTACTTTCTACACTCTGTTTTTCGGATATCAAATTGATCATCTGCTTCATCTAGCTTACTGTATTTCCATCAAGTATACATTTGATTTCATTTATTGTATTCTTGATCTCTGACTGGTTCTTTTTTATCTCTGTGTTAAGGGTTTCACTGATGTCTTCCACTCTTTTCTCAAGCCTAGTGAGCATTTTTATGATTATTACTTTAAATTCTCTATCAGGCATATTTATATCTGTTTTGTGTAGATCTCTTGCTGTGGTTTGGTTCTGTTCCTTCATTTGGGACTTATTTCTGTATGTTCTCATGTTGTCTAACTCTCTGTATCTGGTTCTTTGTTTTAGGAAAGTCAGCTACTTCTCTTGCTCTTAACGGTAATAGCCTTATAAAGAAGAGATCCTGTAGTTGCATTGCAGTTTCCCTTGTTCCCCAGGGGCTGGTGCTTCAGGGAGCATTCCCTATGTGTGTCTCATGTGTTCTACTGTTGAGTCTTGGCATCTTTTTTCTTCAGTCCAGTTGTCTGCAGAAATCCTCTTTGGCTATTATGGGCAGTGTTTGGTCCCCAGAAGGGATGGGGTGTGTTTTAACATGGTGCACAGTGGTTTGCTCATAAAAGGAGACCTGCTCCCATTGTAGCGGGAACTGAAGTCAAGCAAAACTGCTAGTCCTATGCTGTATCTGCATTTTTTTAAGGATTTCATTTATTTATTCACGAGAGACACACACACACAGAGGCAGAGACATAGGCAGAGTGTGAAGCAGGTCCCTTGCAGGGAGACTGATAGGGGACTCAGTCACCAGATGTGGCATCATGCCCTGAGCCAAAGGCAGACGCTCAACTGCTGAGCCACCCAGGCGTCCTAGATGTGTCTGCATTTTAAGGTTGTATCTGCTGTTTGTTGTGCGGTCTCTTTAAGGTAAAAGACTCAGCTTCCTACCTCTGGGCTCTACCTGAGCCAGAGCCCACTGATTTTTTAAAATGCCACACTTTAAGTGCTGCTGGTTGTAAGAATTCATGAAATTTAGCCCCTTTCACTTTCAAAGGCAAATGTTAAGGGGATTTGTACTCCCCATTCAGGACCTCTCCAGTGTGAAATCTGTCTTTTGTGTTTTTCGTGCCACAGGCTCCCTCCCCACTGTGGATGGCCATGGCCTTTTTTATTCTGAAACCAAGTCTTCACACTTCCAACCTTCTTGGATGTGGCTTATTCTCTACCTTTAGTTGTGGAGTTTGTTCTGTCAGTCTTAGGGTCATTTTCTGGGTTATTTATGTTGATGTCAGTGTTATCTAAGTTGTATCTGTGGGTGAGACGAGCTCAGTCTCCTCCTCCTCTGCTATCTTCCCTCAAGGTTACATGCAGGCAGTCCAATGGGAGCAAGATTAGAATCTAAGTCTCTGAACACCTACCTAGTGCCCTTTTCCACTTTATATGATTTTATTTTCTTCTCCTTCTACTGTCTTGGCAATACACTTAAAAATGTAAACAAAGTGGTGGAAACTGATAGTTTAGCTTTATTCCTGATAGAGAATTCCAGATTGAAAAATGCTATAACACTATTTTCACCTATAACATAAAGTGGAAGCATTTAGTCATTCCCTACTAAGTATAAGATTAGCTAGAAGATTTTGTAAAATATTTCTTATTAAGATGAAGAAATTACCTTCTAGTCCTAGTTTTTTGGAAATTGTTTTCATTAAAGGTGTCGAATTGGGCAGCCTGTGGCTCAGCGGTTTAGCCCGCATTCAGCCCAGAATGTGATCCTGGAGACCCGGGATGGAGTCCCACGTCAGGCTCCCTCCATGGAGCCTGCTTCTCGCTCTGCCTGTGTCTCTGCCTCTCTCTCTCTGTGTCTCTCATGAATAACTAAATGAAATCTTTAAAAAATAAATAAATAAAATCTTTTTTTCCCTAGGTATTTTTAACTTTTATTTTTAATTATTTATTTTTTATTGGGGTTCAATTAAAAAAATAAAATCTTAAAAAAATAAAGGTGTTGAATTTTGTCAAGTGCATTATTTTTGCATGTTTTGTGATGATCATATGATATCTTTATTTGAATATGGTATATGACATTAACTGATATTTGAATATTGAAACATTTCATTCCTGCAATAACCTCACTTTGTCAGATATATGATCTTTTTTAAAATTTTAATTAATTAATTGATTAAATATTGTATTTATTTATTCATGGGAGACACACAGAGAGAGGCAGAGACATAGGCAGAGGGAGAAGCAGGCTCCCTATGGGGAAGTCCAATGCGTAACTCGATCCTAGGACCTGGAATCATGGCCTGAGCCAAAGGCAGATGTTCAAAGATTTTATTTATTTATTCATGAGAGACACAGAGAGAGAGAGAGGCAGAGACACAGGCAGAGCGAGAAGCAGGCTCCATGCAGGGAGCCCGACGTGGGACTCGATCCTGGGTCTACCAGGATCATGCCCTGGACGAAAGGCGGCGCTAAACCGCTGAGCCACCCAGGCTGCCCCGAAGGCAGAAGTTCAACCACTGAGCCACCCAGGCGTCCCTGTATAATCTTTTTTGTATGTTGCATCTATGTTCATTAGAAATAATAGTCTGCAGTTTTCTTTTCTTGTGATTTCTTTGTCTAGCTTTGGCATAAGGTGATGCTAGCCTGAGTTGGGAAATAGTTCTGTTTTCTGTCATGACATAAACAAAAATTTTCCTAAAATTGTACAATATGCATTATATATATAATATATATATAGTACATCTATAATCTAGTATTTAACTCAATCTCTCTTCTAGTCAATACTCTCCTTAACTGATTTCTTGCCTGCACTCTTGTTCTCTTACAATTTATATTTTATCGAATCACTGTCTTCTTCAATATATTCTCATGCTTTGCTATTCAACTTATAATGATATCCCAATCCTTTATGTACCCTAGGACACACCATGTGACTAAGTTTCTGTCTAACTCTTTGGCCTGCTTTCAAAATGATTTTTACCTTGCTCATTCTGCTCCCGTCATCCTATGCTTCTTGCCTTTCCTCAAATATGCCAACTTTATTTCTACTTCAATAATGTTGCACTCATCATTCTGTTTTCTCCATTAAATCATCTTATTCATCCTTCTCTTAACTTCTATTGATTCAAATCCATCCTTAGAGAGGAAGTTCCTGATTCTCCTATTAAAATTTTCCTGGTCTATCCTCATTATTCTCTATTCTGTTGCCTATTTTAGTTCATAACATTTACCATTTCCAATATTATCTTAAGTATTTATTTGAAAAACAATTTCCTTCCTATTTCCCCTATGAAAATGTGAAGTCCATGAAGTTTAGAACTTGGTCTCTCTTGTTAATCATTCTATTTCAATGTATCAAATTAAATCCCTGAGACATTTTCAATAAATATTTGTTGAATGCAAGAATAAATTACATTACATTGTGAAGGTTATTATGAAAGAAAATACAAGGATCTGTGAGAGAGAATGGGGGGAGTTCTTCAGATTAAATGCTCAAAGGAATCTCTTGGATAAAACTGCATTTACTTTGAAGGAGTTATTCTAGTAAATAATAGAAGAATGACTCTTCCAGACAGAGCTAATAGCAAACAAAAATGCCCTTAGGTAAAGAAAATCTTGAGGAACTTGAGAGAATTTAATAAGATCATTGATCATTATTGGAGCATAGAAATAAAGGGGAATGGAATGAAGTGAGATTAGCAACGAGAGTATAAATAAAATCATTCAACTTCTTGCAGGTCAGTTTAAGAGTAAGAGTAAGACTCCTCAAGGCTCATGCTCAGAAGTCTATGAATGGTTTGAAAGTAGACTAATTAAGAAGTCTTTCACTTTAGAGATTAAGAAACATGCTGCAAAAATAGCATCCAGGAGCTGCATTGATGGAAAGCACAGCTTTCCCTATGACTATTTCTGTCCTTGAAGTAATTTGTGAATTTTGACACTTGGATAAGGATGTGAGTCTAGTGTGACAGTTCAATCATTGGTATTATCTGAAAGCTCCTGAAAAAAATAAAATCAAACATTTAGCAATGGAATAGAGGAATTGACGACACTGGGTGGGGAAGTGGTATCTAAAAATGATAACAAGATAATCAAGAGAAAAATTTTCCAAGCATTATAGATTAAAAAAAAAAAGGTGTTGTTGTTGTTTTTAATGCATCTTTTATTTTGGAATATTTTTAGATTTATGGAAATTTTGTTAATATAGTACAGAGAATTCCCATATACCTTCACTCAGCTTCAATTTACCCTATTGTCATCATCTTGCATTACCCTAGTTAGTACATTTGTCAAGACTAAGAAATGGATTTTACTATCAAAAACAATTCAGACTCTATTCAGACTTCACCATTTTTTCTACTAATGAGCTTTTTGTGTTTGAGGATCTGATCCAGGACACCACATTTCATTTAGTTCTCATGTTTTCTTAGTCCCTTCTAGTCTGTAATGCTTTCTCAGAATTTCCTTATTGCACATGACTTTTATATGAGAAACAGATAATTCCAAATTATGCCATTTTTAAATGCTTTGTATGAAAGAGATTTCTGTAAAATAAAAAGTAGACCCAAGAGAAAAATACTCATTCTTTGGAATCAAATTTGTAGCTAACATGCTTACAACATCTGTGATAATGCATAGAAATGACGTGGTCCTCCTACACTTAGCCCTCCTTGTCTGTATTGGGCATTTAATAAATTTTGTCTTCACATTTGCAGGCAGCCTTGCAATTATCACTGACAAAATAATGGTTACAGTAAGAGTAGTCTTCAAATCCTTACAGTTAGAATAATTATCTTCATACTCACAACTATTGGCTGTAATAAAAACAAAGAAATAAGTCAGTTCATTATCGTTTTCCTCCATAGCAGCAACACAAACAATACATTCAATGTAAGTGGGAAGAAAACTATTGAGCAAACATGTTGGTATCATTACATTATGATTGATTCAAAGGGAAACATTAATCCATTACTTCTTCTAAAATTTGAGCTTTTTGGGATGTTTCTAAAATGAATTGACCTATTTTCCTCCCTCAGAAAAGGAAATAAATTTCAATGAGTCTCTCTACAATTACACTGTCCAAAATTATAGTCTTTAACCATATGGTTGTTTAAATTTAAACGTGAATTAATTAAAATTACATAACATTAAAAAATAAATTTTCAGCTCATTGGTGGTACATTCCAAGTGCTCAGTAACCAATATGGGGGCTATTTTATCAGGATAGAGCAAATCTTGAACATTCCCATCATTGCAAAAAGTTATATTAGACACTGTTGCTCTATCTAGACTTTAGTGTCACTAATCTTTCTTTCAAGAGTAAGAAATCATTATGAGAATATGTGGATGTAAAAACAGGAGAGAATTTCACAATTATTATCAGACATTTCTACTTTGAAGTCCCTCAGTGGACACAAACACAATAACTCTCAAACTAAATTCATTATTCTACCTACAGGCTTGGCATTTCTTTGGAGTTTCTCCCCAACTCCCAACTCAATTCCCCTATTATCAGAGAAATGAAAGTCCTAACTAAATAATTCAAACCAGGAACTGGAATCAACATGAACTCACTGCTCTCTACTTTTTATTAGCACTCAACAAGTGCAAGTAAAAAACACTGTTTTTTCTACTACTACGTTCCTATCCCTATCGCTCATTACTATTTCTCTTCATTTATTTTGTCCTAATGTAGTAAAAACTCCATTTCCATTTATTTTTTGAACCCATGTTTTCAACAGTCTCTGAGCCAGCTTCCATCTACTTGTTGCTCCATACTACTGCCAGATCTTTATAAAACACAATTCTGATCTCATCATTCTTCTACTTAAAAATCTTTCAATTGATTGATTATTACTAACAGGATAAATTCCAAACCCCTTAACAAATAGTATTCAGCAGAGGAGTAAATATTTTCTTCTTTAATTAATGTATAGCTTTGATATCATCAATACACTGAATTAGAGCTATACAATACCTCAGAAAGAATGCTACAGTTCAATCTAGTGAATGCATTTGAAATGTAAAAATCTCAGTCAACTGTGTTGTTCATAATTTTAATAACATATCTCAACTAAACAAAAATACTAACTCTTTGTATTTATATCCATAACAACATTAAACATGAGATATTATATGACACTGAATTTAATCCTTTTGCTAAAATAATTTTGAAACTTCTGTGAGCTAATAATGCTACATACATATTTGATTGACATTTTAAAAATATGTAAAAATTACTAGCAAACACAAGTGCTAGTGGTTATTAAATTAAACTTGATTATTCTAACTATACTATGGGGAAAATGAAGAATTTAGAACGATGAACTCATTGGTGTATAAAGAATGTTTGGTGTCTGAACTGAAGTGTGTCTGTGGTCTAACACCTTTATATTTTGTACATATTTTCTCTTTATAAAATGTCACTTTGATATAATTGCATTAACTTTGGTAGAAAAAATATTTAATTACAATAAATTATTTCCACAGAAACAGTTTTAGATATGCCAATATATAACAAGTCCAACATAATCACAAATATACATTGATGGTAGATGTTTCTTTAGGTTACATGTGGTAACAGGATTTTCATTGCAAATAATATATAGATAATGCATAAAAGTTTTGATGAAAAACCCTCTCTTGAATACTTTTACTCTTGTCTTTTGTATGAAGGCATTACTTAAGTTAGTTACAATCAGAAGATTTCCTAATTCTTAAAAAAAAAAGAGGGGCCTATGGCTCTTATGATACTAAGGTATGTTTCTTCTATTCCTACACTGCAGAAGAGTTTTTAATCAAGAAAAAAAATGTATTTTGTCAAATGCTTTTTCTGCATCTATTGAGAAAATCATATAGTTTTTGTCCTTTCTTTTTTTTTTTTAAATCTGCGATTCCCTTCTATTTTTTTTAATTTTATTTATTTATTTATGATAGTCACACAGAGAGAGAGAGAGAGGCAGAGACACAGGCAGAGGGAGAAGCAGGCTCCATGCACCGGGAGCCCGACGTGGGACTCGATCCCGGGTCTCCAGGATCGCGCCCTGGGCCAAAGGCAGGCGCCAAACCGCTGCGCCACCCAGGGATCCCCTCTCCTTTCTTTTATTAATATGGTGTACCACATTGATTTATTTGCAGATATTGAACCACCCTTACAGCCCACACAGTTGTGATGAATAATCCTTTTAAAGTACTATGTAATATACTATCTACTAGCTAGTATCTTGGTGAGAATTTTTGCATCATCTGTTCATCAGACAATACTCTATGTAGAAAACCAAAAAGACTCCACCAAAAAATTGTTAGAATGGATATAGGATTTCAGCAAAGTGGCAGGATATAAAAATGCATGGAAGCCAGATGAATTTCTATATACTAACAATGAGGTAGAAGAAAGAGAAATCAAATAATTGATCCCAATTTACAATTGGGCCAAAAGCCATAAAATACCTAAGGATAAACTTAAAGAGATTAAAGATCTATACTTTGAAAACTATAGAACATTTATGAAGGAAATTGAAGAAGACACAAGGAAATGGAAAAACATTCCATGTTCATGGATTGGAAGAATAAATATTGTTAAAACGTCTACACTACCCAAAGCAATCTATACTTTCAATAAAATCCCTATCAAATTACCATCAATATTGTTCACATAGCTGGAACAAATAATCCTAAAATTTGTATGAAACCAGAAAAGATCCCGATAGCTAAAGGAATGTTGAAAAATAAAACCAAAGCTGGAAGCATCAGAATCCCAGACTTCAAGCTCTATTACAAATCTGTGATCATCAAGACATTATGGGTACAGACACAAAACAGACATATTGATCAATGGAACAGAAGGGAGAACCCAGAAATGGACCCTCAACTCTATGCTCAACTAATCTTCAACAAAGCTGGAAAGAATATCCAAAGAAAAAAAGGCAGTCTCTTCAACAAATAGTGTTGGGAAAATTGGGGAGCCAACATGTGGAAAAATGAAGCTGGACCACTTTCTTATACCAGACACAAACATAAACTCAAAACGGATGAAAGACCTAAATGTGAGACAGGAATCCATCAATGTCCTAGAAGAGAACATAGGCAGCAATTTCTCTGATCTAGGCTGCCACAACTACTTGCTAAATACATCTCCAAAATCAAGAGAAATAAAAGCAAAAAGGAACTATTGGGACTTCATCAAGATAAAAAGCTTTTGCATAGCAAAGGAAACAATAAACAAAACTAAAAGGCAACCCACAGAATGGGAAAAGATATTTGCAAATGTCTTATCATATAAAAGGCTAGTATCCAAAATCTATAAAGAACTTATCAAACTCAACACCAAAAAAACCCCCCAAAATATTTAGTTAAGAAATGAGCAGAAAATGTGAACTGACATTTCTCTTGAAGAAGACATACAAATAGCCAAAAGACACATGAAAAGAAATGCCCTAATCACTCAGTATCAGGGAAATACAATCAAAACCACAATGATATGCCACCTAGTACAGGTCAGAATGGCTAAAATTAACAACTCAAGAAACAACAGATATTGGATGTTGAGTATGTAGAGAAAGAGGAACCCTCCTACATTGTTGGTAAGATGCAACAGTATGGAGATTCCTCAAAAAGTTAAAAATAGAGCTACTTTATGACCCAGCAATTGCACTACTAGGTATTTATCCAAAGGATACAAACATAGTGATTTGATTGATGGGGCACATGCACCACACTTTTTATAACAGCAATGCCCACAATAGCCAAACTATGGAAAGATCCTAGATGTCCATCAACAAATGGATGGATAAAGATGAACATAGAGGAAAGGAAGGAAAAATAAAATAAGATGAAAACAGAGAGGAAGGCAAACCATAAGAGATGCTGAATTCTAGGAAACAAACTGAGGGTTGCTGGAGGGGAGGTGGATGGGGGAAGGGATAATTGGGTGATGGGCATTAAAGAGGGCACTTGATATAAAGAGCACTAGTTATTATATGTAAGTGATGAATCACTAAATTCTACCTCTGAAACTAATAATAAAGTATATGTTAATTAAATTGAATTTAAATAAAGAATTAAAAAAAATGAAAGGTTCCCAGAAGGGACAAAAGAAGTCAGGTCATTTTATCATATATACCCAAATTAATGACTTCAAACTTACTGCAGAGTCCTTTGTCACAGTGATATTTGCAGCTGGCACAAGATTTTCCTTTTAGGTAAGGGGTATGCATCTTGTTAACAAGATTACCACTGAAATTTGAAATACAGAATGTCAAACATTTTTCATTTTTCAGTTTAGTTTATGCTCCCAGGATAGCATCTATCACCGCATATAACTGAATATCAATGTTTTCCATCAAGTCAAATAGCTGAAAAACTGAAGTTCCCAAAATGTACCAGATAACAATGTAAAGAAAATAATTCACATTCCCTAACTTCTTTGACCATAATTTCATAACCTGACCAATTGAAATGGAATAAATGGGGTCTAAAATTTTCATAGTGTATTTCATTCAATATGAAAACATTCTTTCTCCCCCAGAAGACTTGGTCAAATTGCTGAAGCAGTGTATCCCAAGGTGCTGGCTAGTGATAAAACATATCCCTTAGAAAGACAGCACAAGTTGCAGTATGGAAATGCTTAAAGTTACATATAATTTTATATTTAAGAAATATAATAATTTCTGTAATATGAACTAAGGAAGGTAAAGTCCCTGGATAATTTTGGCTTCAGATGGAGGGGTTGATTTTAATATAGTTTTTGGTGTGTGTTTTGGGGAGATAGGATAGCTTAGGAAGGTTTTTGAATCTCTAGAGGTTTTGTGTGTGGTTTTTAATGTTTACAAAAAAGGAGAAGGTAAGAAAAAATGGTTTTATTAACACTAATTGCTAAGGAGTATTAGTCTTCTAGTAAGTAGCCTACATCTCATTGATGGATATTACTCAAGATAGTCTCAATTGTACGAGGTGGACCAACAACGCAAAGCAATGTATCTGAATCTCACTCCCTGCACGGGATATAACAAACCATGTGTGAGCCCCTCGAAAATGTGGAATACATACAAACATATTCTGGAAACTCCCTCACCACTGCTTTTCCTCATTCACTCCAACTTTCACTTCAGATGCCTGGCTCCAGATCCTCCTCTCTTACAGTCAACCAGTAAGTTTGGATGCACTATTCTAGGAAATTTCCATTCTTTCTACTAAACCCTAGTAAGTGCCTGCAGGAAAATGACGTTGGAGGTCTACTTCTCACCCTGCAGATCTATATGCTCAGGTTACCTACAGTCCACCATCATCTGTTATGGTAATAATGTAGGTGGTTTTTTAGACAAGCAGGGCAAGGAATATCTTAACAGGAAGAACCGAAATCACAATCTGTCATCCCCTACTGGCCACTCCACTACCATCCCTTGCTTATCCATCAAGCAGTCACTTCCTAACGTGTGAAGTTAGTGAGAACTGATGCTATCAAATCTAGGGAAATGTGCACTACCCATGCTCATGGATAGCCATGAGCCCAAGGGAAAGGCGACTGAGAGAAAAGATGTCACTTTGTAACTGAGGACAGAGAGCTTCAGATTTTGTACTTGGAATGGAGAACGTAGTCTCTTCCATGATAATTTGAATGTATCTCAACTTAAAAGCATTTCCAAAGATTTATTCCTTCTGGATGGACCTAGAGGGTATTATGCTAAGTGAAATAAGTTGGACAGAGAAAGATACCATATGATTTTACTTACATGAGGATTCTAAAAAATAAAATAAAAAGCAGAAACAGATAATAAGTACAAGAACAAACTGATGTTTGCCAGAGGGGCAGGAATGGGAAGATGGGCAAAAGAGTTGAAGGGAAGTGGGAGATACAGGCTTCCAGTTATGGAATAAATGAGTCATGGGGATAAAAAAGTACAGCACAGGGACTATAGTCAATGGTCTAAAAGCATTGGATGGTGACTGGTGATAGCTACCCTTGTGGTGAGCATAGCATAAAGTAGAGACCTGCCACTATGTTAAACACCTAAAACTAATGTGACATTGCATATGAACTACGTAATGATTTTTAAAAATGAAAAAAGGATTTATTCCTTCCCTTCACTGAATTATGTTTTATATTCTAGTTTGTTTACTATACAAGAATTTTCAAATATTAAATTACATTTAGGGGTATTGCACTACCCTCTAAGGTATATACTTACGCAGGACAATATTGGCAAACATAGTAGTATTTTAGACTCTCTTGATTGGGACAATAGGCAATTCCACATCCAACATGATAAGAAGAGTACCAAACAACCTACAAATCCAGAAAGGAATATATGAGAATATATTAAATAAGAGGGAAAATATTTAAAAAATAGCGGCAAATGTAAAACCAAAAAAAATGTTACTATTATAGTTTGTAGCCAGGTACCCTTAAAAAATAATTAGCTCAATTATTGAAACAAATCACAAATTTTAAAATATTGTATTTTAATGTCCACTAACTATTTTATCCATTTCTAATTCTGAAAAAGTATAGAACATGCTTCCTTACCAAGTGTTACATCAGCTATGGAAAAAAAAATGACAGCTCTAGATGAAGTACCAGCCAGGACTATTTTATCTATTCAAGCTCTTACCCAAATTGAACATTGGACTTTGTCATAATTCAGAGATGCTTTCATATTAAAGCATTTGTGATAGAAGTATTTTCATTTGTTTCTCTTACCTGGGTGTAATGTCCAATAACTGCATCAGAACTCTTAGGTCCTACACCATAGACAAAATCATGGCGCTCCTCATACCAGTTTTGGATTGCATCTGACCAGGAAGCAGGGTGACTTGACATAAAGAGATTCTCACCACATTTTGTATCTAAAGAGAATCAGATCATCCTTGAGGAAAGAAATAATGCGTGGAATGGCAAAAGAAATCAACTATATGAACACAAGGATGTTGCCCTTCAAACACAGTGCCTATACTCATAACTGTTAATACATAATAAAAGGACTTCTGTATTTCTCAGCCCTAAAGCTGAATAGAAGACATACCTGTCTTGGTACACCTGGATGGCTTAGTGGGTTAAGAAGCTGACTCTTGATTTCAGCTCAGGTCATAATCTCAGGGTGCTGATTGAGCCCTGCATCAGGGTGCCCACTCAGCCCAGAGTCGGCTTGAGGATTCTCTCTCTCTCCCTCCCCGTCTGCCCCTTCCCCTACTCACACACATTCTCTCTCTAAAATAAATAAATTAATCTTTTCAAAAAAGAAAAAGACAGATCTATATAGCATGCTGAAGCTGTCATCAATATGCAAAAACTTGGAATAAGTTAAGAGGACCTTATGCTTTAAAAATCCTCTGGAGTATCAGAGACACATTCTTTTTTTATTTTTAATTTTTAAAATTTTTTAATTGAAGTTCAATTTGCCAACATGTAGTATAACATCCAGTGCTCATCCCATCAAGTGCCCTCCTCAGTGCCCATCCCCCAGTTACTCCATGTCCCTGCCTGCCTCCCTTGCCACTACCCTTCATTCGTTTCCCAGAGTTAGGAATCTCTCATGTTTTGTCACCCTCTCTAATTTTTCCCACTCATTTTCCTTCCTTTCCCTTATAATCCCTTTCACTATTTCTTATATTCCACATGTGAGTGAAACCATATGATGACTGTCCTTCTCCAACTGACTTAATTCACTCAGCATATTACCCTCCATTCATTTTTATGCTAAATTCTTCACTTATGTAATGTCTCCTGTGCTCTCAGCTTTGTACTGTAAATTTGCAAAAGACACTGACCAACTTTTTCTTCTTTTTCTCTTCCTGTTGTCTGCCTTCACCAGAGATTTTGCACATATCGGACCCTTTCTAAGTGTTTATGATTATGATTTTGTGTGCACTTGGAAAAAAGTTCTACAAGCAGTCTCTAAGGGCTCCAATTAAGAGGCAACTGACATCAGGATAGATGGCAGATTTCAAAGCTTTTGGGTCCTCTCTTAATCACTAAATCAGAATACCCTAAGGCCAAATCTTATTAGGCAAAGAAGAGCCTTGCAGATGGTGACATCAGCAAGATGGTGGAGTAGGAAGCCCGGACTCTCCTTCCTCTAACAAACACCCTGATCCAGCAACAATTCCTGAACAATTTGCCCTTGAGGGAAATCCAAAAGTACCCTGGGAGAATATGAACCCAGACTCACTGCCCCTGCAGGGAAACTGGGACACCCTCTTGCTAGAATGTCTGTGTTCAGCCCAGTGCCTGTCATCTAATCAGGAAGGTGTCCCCTAGCTCCCAGCTTCTCCCAGGGGAAGCAAATAGTTGGTTCATGTGTCCAGTGTTCCAACCTTTTGTAAGGAAGCTTGCCAGTTGTCTGGCTTCTTGCAACTCTGACAGTCAGGCAGAGGCTAACCCCCTGGACCAGAATGGAGATGGTGGCATTGGCGGTAAGTACCATATTTCTTCCCCTTGGCTCAACACAGAGCAAGTAATTGAAAAATCATAGATCTCAGCTTCCTCCTGGGGAAGCAAAGAGTTGATTGATGTGCCCAATGCTCCAATTTCTCCAAGGCTGCCTAAAGACCTGACATCTGTCTTGCCAATCTTGGAGCTCTGATGGGCTTTGCACAGGCTCCTTGGGTGAGAGCAGAGACGGTGGTTTGTATTGGTAGATGCCAATGATCCTCTCCCCAGCTCAGCACAGAGCAATCAGACTAATGCCACTGCTGCCTATTTCTCCCTGGGGCAGGAAAAATTTGGTCTGGGTATCGAGTGCCACAAAATTTCCAGGAGCTTCCCCGAAGACTGGTTTCTGATATGCCTCTCTGAGAATGTCAAAATTTCCTTTTTTATGGCTGAATAATATTGCATTATATATGTGTTCATGTGTGTATACATATCTTTATCCATTATCTATCAATGGACACTTGAGTGGCTTCCATAACTTGGCTATTATAATTAATGCTGCTATAAACATAGAGGCATATGTATCCCTTTGAATTAGTGTTTTTGTGATTTTTGGGTAAATACCCAGTAGCATAATTACTGGATTGCAGGATAGTTCTATTTTTAAGTTTTGAAGGAACCTCCATACTCTCTTCCACAGTGGTGGCAACAGTTTGCATTCCCATGAACAGTGCATGAGGGTTGTTTTTCTCCACAGCCTCCCCAACAGTTGTTTCTTTTATTTTTTATTTTAGTCATCCTGACAGGTGTGTGGTGATATCTCATTGTAGTTTTGATTAGTATTTACCTGAGTGATGAGTGATGTTGAGCATCTTTTCATGTCACTGCTGGCCACCTGTATATCTTCTTTAGATAAATGCTTCAAGTCTTCTGCTCAAAAATTTGGCAGAAGATTTGAACAGGTGTTTTTCCAAAGAAGATATACAGATGACCAACAGGTATGTGAAAACTAATCATCAGAGCAATGTACATCATTACATTTCTAATCTAATCAGAAAAATGTACATCAAAATCATGATGAGATATCACCTTATACCTGTTGCAATGTCTATTACCAAAAAAACAAAAGACAACAAGTGATGGTGAGGATGTAAAGAAATTGGAATCATGTACACTGTTGATGAGAATGAAAAAAATAGTATGGCTGTTGTGGAAAACAGTACAGAGGTTCCTTAAAAAATGGAAAGTAGAACTACTAAATGATCCAGCAATACCACTTCTGAGCATTTATCCAAAAGAATTGAAAGGATCTTCAAGGATCTTGAAGAGATATTAGCACCCTCATGTTCATTGCAGCTCTAGTCACAATAGGCAACATTTGGAAACAACTTAAATGCCCATGGACAGATGAATAGATGACAAGATGATATATATAGATAGATATATAGATATATAGATATATAGATATATATCATGTGTAATATAATTCATATTATATTATATTACTCATATTATAAAAAAAAGAAAAGTTTTGCAACGTGTGATAACATGCATAAGCCTGAGGACACGATGCTAAGGGAAATATGCCAGTCACAGAGAGATTACTGCATGAGTCCATTTACATGAAATACTTAAAATAGCCAAATTCACAGAATCAAAGAGTGCAATGTAATGGCTGGGGATGAGGGGAAGGAGAAATGAGGACTTACTAATCAATAAATTTCTGGTAAGTGAGGTGAATCAATTCTAGACATCTGCTGTACAACACTGCACCATAGTCAACAATGTTGTATATTTACAATACATTTAAAAATTGGTCAAGAGTGTAGGTCTCGTGTTAAGTATTCTTATTACAACAGAATTTTTAAAAAGCATTGTTGCTACAATAAAATTAATTTAAAAAAATAAGAAGAACAAAATGCCTTGCAGCCCAGAAATATTTGCTATCTTTTAAGCTCTCAATATTTACATTTTGGTAGTTTGAAATATAATGTCTACATATTGCTTAAAGGGAGTATAAAATATTCTTGGATATTTTCTTTAATATGGAGAGAAGGAAACTAAGAATCTAACATAATTTGATCTCAAGACTATTTGTTTTCATCTTCTCCTCCTGAATGCTGTATGGCTCTTCATAATTTCATTATAATGTTAACATCAACAATATAAATAACAATAGTTAGTTCTACTGAAATTACAGGTAATAATTCACTACTGTCAAAGTGAGTATGCCTATCATGTCTGATAGAGTAAATAAATATCTTATGTAAAGTTTATGCATAGAAGTTTTCTCTCATAGGTTTTTATAATTCTTGAGAATTTTGCAGCTTTTTGCATGTAATATATTATTCTATGCATTATAGGTACACAGACTATACAAACTACTTGACTATTATCAAAAAGTAAAAACTGAATGAACATACACAAAATACGCATCATGATTTTAAAAGTTTAAGTATTTTTAGAGCAAAATTCAGGAACAATTCACATGATTCAGTATATATGCGAATACAAAATAAGGAGATATCCAAACATCAAACAGCTACACAGTACTGCAAAAAGGACAGTGGATTAGAAATCAATAAACCTATCTATCTCTAACTGACATTTCACTTAGCATAATATCCTCTAGTCCCATCTATGTCATTGCAATCATATGTGGAATTTAAGAGACGAAAAAGATAAACATAGGAGAAGGACAAGAAAAATAAGAGGAAAACAGAGAGGGAGGCAAGAGATTGCATAAGAGACTCTTAACTATAGGAAACAAACTGACGGTTGCTGGAAAGAAGGTAGTGGGGGATGGGGTAACTCGGTGATGGGCATTAAGGAAGGCACTTGATGTAGTGAGCACTTAGTATAGTATGCAACTGATGAATCACAGAATACTGCCTCTGAATCTAATAATACAGTATATGTTAATCAAATTGAATTTAAATAAAAGAATAAAAAATAGAAATCAATAAGCTTGGTTAACTTTACAGTATATGATGCAACTTTGGGATGTGCTCCTAGGATATTTCTCCTATGTCCCTAATCTTTGAAGCTGGAGAAATGATGATAAATGACCTGTTGACTCATGAGCTGGTTGAGAGGAATTAATGAAGTTTGCTTTAGAAATTATTTGTATAATGTAAACAATCAACAAGGACAAAATGATACTTATAATTCTCTCTCCTTCTACAGATAGTTTTGATTTTTTTAAAAGAGCAATATAAGCAACATTTATTCACTAAGTCTTCTTACAACATACCACAATGTTCCACAATTCTATTTGATCTTTCCAATATTATTTTACTTGTTCATTTATTAACAAATATTTACTCATTTACATACTGGTTTCTCGGTCCTTTGCTGGGCTATGTTCTAAGGTGCACTTGTTTGCCCACTTTTGGGCATTTGCTGCTGCTTCTTTGTTCCATTCCTAAATGTCACAAGAAAAAAAATACACTTGAAGATTCAACTCCAATGAAACTTATGTTTTATAATCTTACTGGTAATTTAATTTACACCACTGTAAAACTTCCCTGGATATATTAATTATCATTGGTATGATAAGATCTTTTTGTTAGTTGTGTGTGTTTATCTGCTCCAGTGCCAATTTCCACATGGGAAGTCCATAAATGATGTGTCTATTGAGAGAAATATCTAATACAATATCTGACAATTTATAATAACACAGGAGCCACACCTGTGGATTTTTAGTAAATAGTGCTAGACTAACTATCAATATGTGAACTCTTTAAATTATACTTCAATAGTAATAAACTAACCTAGATCATTCCCAATTCCACTTGCAATCCATTTCATCCAAATGGGAAATATCTAGCTTTTATGGATCATGTCTTGGAAAGTGGACTATTACTTACCCTACATGGCTCTGATTTTGAGGGAGAGGGACCTCCTTTTTTATTTATTTTATTTTATTTTATTTTATTTTATTTATTTTATTTTATTTTTCAGATGTGCATCAGTGATTTTAATAAAGAAAAATGTGGTTCTGAGAGGAAATAGTTCGCTCATGTGTAGTCGTTTAAACAAAGTAATGTGAGGTTTAGTTGAGGGTAAGGATTGCAACTGTTGAGAGCACCTTGTCTTCGGTACAGTTCAGGGTCTCTCTGTTCTTAGGCACAGGTAAGCCTTGTTCTTGCTTCTTTTTAGGAGGGATATAGCTACTGAGACGAGAGGCCAAACTCTTTTCCCCAGTGTGAATCAGAACGTGGCGGCTCAGATGGTAGTCCCTGACAAAGGCTTTGCCACAGCCTTCATGGTCACAAACAAATGGTCTATTACTGGTTTGTCTTCTTTAGGGGTCTATTTGGCCGTGTGCTTTCTCCGTGCCTCCTAAATGTAGCCGCACCTCGGAATCACGTGGCGATCTTTTACAAACTCCAAGCCCAGAGCCGGGACCTCCTTTATTTTAGACGAGGGTAGATTGTGAACAAAATTGCAATGGCTTCATATTTGGTGTCCGAAGATTTGGCTTCTAATTTTGCCTTCCCAACTTAAGAGCCCTGTAACCTTGACAAATTATTTAACCATTATAAGGAAAATTAGTTTCTGCTCTGCCCACATTACACAGCTCAAATGAAATAGTAAAACAGAAACAAAACGTGTAAGCAAAGTTCTTCAGAGATGCCAGTTACCAGCTCCCTGCTCTAATCACTGCTGATTCACACATGAGCCTTTATCACTGCCTCTTACCATCTTTAGCATGTTGCTGGCAGGTGGAGAGACTGATTTCCTTAGTTCATTGTGTTTATTTACAATCTCCTTTTGGACTTGCGTTTGAGTGGTTAACAAAGCAGTAAAGGATGGATCCTAAAGGGAAATAACATTAAAGTTACCCTTCTAACATTTGTTAAAATTGCATTTAAGAATGAATAAGTGAATTCAAGAGAGCAAAGATCATTCTGAAAAGCATTCAGTTCAAGTCAATATTAGTTGTTAAGCATTGCCAATGAACCTGAGCCAAAGCTATGACAAATATGAAAGAAGCATTTGAAGCTTTGAGAATGAGGATGAAATTCATGGCATGACAAATTAAAATCTCCTTTGAGGCCACAGATCCCAATTTCTAGTTTCAAGAGTACTCTAATTGTGCTTTTTCTAGCCATATGAGTGATATTATTTTATAATCATAATAGTATGCAATAGAAACATTAAAACATATTCATTCACTTTTGAACAGGCTGCAGCAGGTGGAATGAGAGTGGGCCTCAAGATTCATCTTAGGTTTTAAGGAAACCTTGACCTGATATGGTCTGTATTTAGAGAAATAATGTATTTAAAGTGTAGTTAGCGAAGGAATGTTCAGGTTCAAAGTGCATTCAATGCTCCAGTAAAATTATTCTTCCTATTATGGTAGATATTGTAATCTATTTTATCATGATCTAATTTCATGGAGTCACTCAGAAGATAATTTTGCAATATTAAAAAATTTCCAAGGCCATTTAGAGGGAACAAAGTCATCCAATTAATGGGCCATTGCTGAGTCTTGTTTTTTTTTTTTTTTTTTAGTAACAGAATAAAGTATTAAATCAGCTGCTGAAATTTTTGGTATATTTTATCATTCTGTGTGTGTGTGCGGGGCTGGGGTGTCTAGCGTGGAGATAGAGAACAGTATGTAATTGTTCCCACAAGGTCTAAGATATTTGATGACTTAAAATTACAAATTGCTGTTATATTGTATGAGCAAGAGTTTCAAGTCTAACTCTGAACAGATAGAGCCCTTTGGTGATTTTCCCTGATACATTGGAGTAAGTTATTCTGTTTTTCCTCCAATACTGAATTTCCTCAAAGCTCTCCAAATAGTGCAAACTTAGGTTTAACCACGTTTGTTGTTGTCACTATTTATTTTTGTGCCTATTTCTCCCACTTGCTTGTATGTTCCTAAGGACAGGGACCAATAGTGAATTTCATTGTATTCATAGGTCTAGCACATTCCCAGCTACTAACTCCTAAGCTAGAAAGGATGTGCCTGTGAAATATTAGCCGTAGCCCGCCTCTGCTTTATAATAAAGCATAAAATAACATCCTTGGATGTTTCCTATTGACTTTCAAAAACCTGCTTAATAGAATTTCATTTCCAAACACTTCAAAAATTTGGTCCCTGAGAAAAAAGTCATTATTTCCTCCTTCTTACACTATCTTGCTTTGTGGATACAAATCCTACATGTCTTTGTTGTTGTTTTTAAATGAGTTTCCAGAAAGCTTTTATTAGGTTACAGGGAATATGAAGAGTGTTGAGCATAAAATGGATCTAATAAGGTATCTATCTACCCTTAAAAAATTTATTTCAATTCTTTCTCCCTCTCCCTTTGCCCTTTCCTGCACGCGCCCTGTTGCTCTCTCTAATATTATTAATAAAATCTTGGTACTCTCTCTGTCTCTTGCCCTCTCTCAAATAAATAAAATCTTTTAAAAAATCTTTAGAAAAGAGATTCAGAAGGTAGCAAACTTTTTGAATGAAGACCTAAGTGATGAAAAAATTATCTTCAGATTGAAAATTAATTATGGTAACATAATGACTATATTTCTGAATGCCACATGAGTTTTGAACTAGTGTCTGAACCCTGGCTGAGGAGTGCTAGTTATCTTGTTTTCTCAGTTAAAGAAGAATGTAGAAACAGACTGCATTGACCAAACTTCACATTCAGAGTTTTTCTGATCAGAAGATAGACACCTTATATAGGCACCTACCCACCAAACTTTTAAGGGAATAATTGATTCTGTTCTTAAGATTATTAAAGTGAAACAGCATATTAGAAATAATTAGAACATTTTATCCTTTATATAATAATTGTAAAACATGAAAAATCCAAATATTTAAGATCTTTACTAAAGTTTCTTTTTTTAATTTAAAAAATAGGTATAATTATTCTTACATAATGACTATGAAAACAAATGTGGTGATGTATGTGAAGCATTTGAGTTAATATAAATTTGAGATTATATAAATAAATTGTTAATTTTCTGTGAGGATTATATTGATTTAAATAAAAGGAAATCACGAAAGATCTTTAGACAGGAAGAGTTTCATTAGCTTTTAAACCTGTAAAGCATTGCCGTCAAAAGAAATATAATTATAGCATCAAATGTAATTTTAATTTCTGGGTGGCCACTTCAAAAAAAGAAAGAAACAGATTAAATTGATATTTATAATATACTTAATTATCTGACAGATTCAAAATATGTTTTCATCATGCAGTCAATACTAAAATTATTAATGAAATATTTTACCTTCCTTTTTTACCAACTCTTGAATTCTGCTATGTATTTATGCAGATCTCAGTTCCAACCATCTATATTTCCAGTATTCAACACCCTCATGTGGCCAGAGGCTACAATATTGGTCACCATGCCTTAGACTTGTTTTAGGTACTTCAGCAACCAAAGAGTACTTTGTGATGTACCTGTGTCTTCCTTTTCACTTTTGAAAATTGATCTAATATCTTTCTATTCCCCAGGGTTGCTCCACATGTTCTAAAAATATTTTCAGCTTTGACCATACCTGTCCATTTGCAGGAAAGAATGGAAGCAACACAACAGCCAGGAACAGCAACTCCAAGAATAAGGCCATTGCTGGGAAAACAAAATAAAGGGAACAAAGACCTGCATTGGATTGTTTAGTGTATGAACTTCTGAGGAATACAGAGAGAAAAACCAAAACATAACAATGTAATGATCTCAGTTATTCCAAATTTATTATATAACACAAGGTTTGTTACATGATGCCAGTAGAATGATAATGGATTTACCCAGAAGCAACCTTCCAATGGAGATCCACAGAACAAAAGGAAGTACTTCATTGAAGCCTTTGAAATACACCTATGAATGTTAAGTATATACTACCCAATTTTACCCTAGTTCTACACTCTTGACTATGTAGCTAGTTTCTGGTTCTGGAAATGGCTTCTCCACATCGCCCATTCAGGAGAAGTAATAGCTCCCAAATGCTAATAATACTTAGGTATTACTGTATTAGTGCTTACTGGTTTCCCTAAAACCTTCTTAATCCTTTTAAATATACTGTCATTAAGATCTATTCAAATTATTAATTATCATTTGTCATTTCTTTCCTGCTATGAGTCTGTCTCATATAAGATACTTGTCATTCTTAGAACTCTAGATAAATCCATTGGGAAGTTAGTACTTTTCTTTAATACTTTCAACTACTCTTTCAACTATACCTATGCAGGCAATGTCCTCATTCATTTCCATTCAAACCTTTTCTTTTATTACAGTGCCTCAAATCCCCCTTAAAAAGGCAATATTCTCCTTCTGGATCTAAAAACAGGAGGTAGATTTCTCACTTTCAAGATTAGATTAACCCACCCAATCCATATTAATACTCTTAATAAATTCTCATTGTTGCCTCACTAATTTAACTCCTTGAAATCCTGAGGAAATATAATGTAAACTGGAAAAGATTTAGACATACATTTTTATTACATTAATATTTATAAGGGGAAATCATTATAATTCATTATATGCTCAATCGTAGGGAGATAAAATGTCCAGATAAATTAGAATATATCCTCTTGTTAGAGTGTATTAGACATAATAATTATGTCTCCAATGTGTTATAACAAAAAAATGCTTATGCTTCAAAGTTAACAAAATAGTATATGGGAAATCCTTAGCTTCCATTATGGATGAATGTTTGTGCCCTCCCAAAATTCATATGTTGGAGCCCTAGTTCCCAGTGTGGCTGTATTTGTATTTGGGCTTCTAAGGAAGTAATTAAGATTAAATGAGGTCATAAGAATGAACCCTTTTCCAATAGGATTAGTATACATATAAGGAGAGACATCTCTCTCTTTCCTTCTCTCATCTCCATACAGGTAAGAAGATGCCATGTGAGAATACAGTGAGAAGGTGGCTGTCTGCAAGCCAAAAAGAGAGGTCTCACCAGAAACTGACTATCCTGTACCTTGGTCTCAGACTTTGAACCCTCAGAACTGTGAGAAAAATAAATTTCTGTTGTTCACACCACCCAGTCTGTGGTATTTTGTTACGGTAGCCCAAGCAGTGCCACACACATTCCAATAGTTGATATTTGAAGGTTAGGTTATTTTTTAGAAAAAATTTTAAAAAGATTTTATTTATTTATTCATGAGAGACACAGAGGTAGAGAGAGAAGCAGAGACACAGGCAGAGGGAGAAGCAGGCTCATGCAGGGAGCCTGACGTGGGACTCGATCCCGGGTATCTATGATCATGCCCTGGGCTGAAAGCGGCACTAAACCACTGAGCCACCCAGGCTGCCCTGAAGGTTAGGTTATTTTTTAATGAGTCTGAAGGTTCATAAAATGTAGTAATTTGAAATCTTCTAGAGCTACCTGTAGATGACAAAAACTGTGTCATATATTTGCGGTCATTTTTAAGATAAGGTAACAGAAGAAATTTTATTGCATTGTGATATTGACAACCTTGATGTGTAGGGAGATCTGAGATACTATGTTATTGTTCTCCTGGAGGACAGTAACAGAAAAAGGACCTCATCCCCTTCTCCCACAAAGTTAACCATTAGACAAAAAGACAGGGAAAGAACAAACGAGATTAAATGGAAATGCAAGAGATGAGTTTATCTTCATCTGGTGAGATATCCTTTTCTGCATTTTCTATAATGACGCTGTATTACTGTAATTACAGTACCTAGGAAAAAGAAAAAGCCTTTTTTTGCAGAAAGATTATTAAGTCTTGGGAAAGTGCCTCTGACTTTGTCAAACCTATTAGTTGCCTTTTGCAACCTGGTGTAGCTAATAGTTTAAACATTATGTTGATCACATATAAGAAGAACAGATGCACAGAGGTATTAAATTGACTTCCTGATGGTATCATTTCTAGGTAGTGTATGGCTAGGCCAGAACCCAAGATTTCTCTTAACATCAATATCCATTTCCCACTAAACTGTATTTTTCTTCTTGGGGCATGGAGTTCCAGGTAAGAATGAAAGCATCTAATGAATTTTCTGCCTTGACAAAAAAAAGGCATGCATTACTATAAATCTTTTTGTGACTGTTAAACAGCTGGTGGATTACTAAGGACATTTTAGAAAATTAGGAAAAAAATGAACACAATGTGAACAGTAAAGTCAATCTTTTTCTGTTGTTCCTCAAATATAAAATAAAACTCATCAAACTTAGAAAGCTCAAATATTTTATGGTTTTGAAAATATTGATATGATACCCTGTGTATATGTAAGTTTGGTGAAATAATGGAGAACTTTTTTGGCATTTTAATGAGATATTTTTGTCCATTTAGTAAATAGAATAGGAAGGGAAATAATTGGGATGAAAATCACAAAATTGGAAACATTTCCTATAAGGGTTCTACAAAAGATACAAATTATGCAGATGCTTCTACAATATTTTGGAAATTTAAACTTGTTTAGAGCATTATAATATTACTTATAACACTAATAAGAGGTTTTGTTTATACTGTAATGTTTAGGTAGAACAGCAGAAGAGATGGGATAATAAAATGAAAAATTGAAGACAGAAAAGAAAAAATATGGAAAGAAAAATTAACTTAATTTTGTATAAAGCAAACGTATAAAGTTAGGGTCCAAAAAAGCTATTTTTGTTTCTTAGAGATGCCTGGCCCTGTATTGGGCAAATCTGAACACTGAAAATTGACACCTGGTACTGTGAGAACAGGAAGAGTGCACTATAGGTGTTAAGAAGCCTGGGTGTTGTCCCTAATTCTGTTTTCCACAGCTCATCTTTAGCTATATGAAATTGAAAATCTTTATCAGGTTACAATAGTGACATAGGATCACTTCATACAGTTCTTGTGAATGAGGTGAGTGTTGTTAGAGCAATTTGAAAATAGAAAAAAAAACATACATTAAGACATCCTGTCTTAGCATTAACATTACTATTTGTATTATCAAGTGGGATGCCTGTGCCCTTAGCAGGGAGTGTTGCCCGCAGAAATCCCTCAGCTTGCAGGCACTTCAGTTGATTGGCTGAAGCCTCCCATAAGACTACATTACAGCTTCAGTTCTACCTTGGAGTAATTTTGCTTCTCTCCCCTTCCTTCCTGCAGAATTGATCCCAAATGTTTTCTTTAACTTCTGTGTCTCAGATTTTGTGACCTGAAGAACCCAACCTGGTACAGAATTCATTAGGGTAATCTTTTCTCCCATAACTCTAGTCAGGATGGGCTTCTCATTAATAACTTCATTATTCTTTGATCATATGCTCCTTATGCCTCTGATGATTTTAGTCCTTAACCTGGATTTTAGATACATCACTTAAGAATATGAACCTTTCTAAGTCCCTCTCCCCAAAGAAACTCAGAGGCTTGTCTCTGGGTAGGAACATTCAAAGCCCACCGAATAAAATCTGATTTTATTCAATTTTTCTGATTCATGTTCATGGTTTTATTTCCCTTAATTTCTTTGCATTTGACTTTTTTCTGTAACTGCATTGCGAGTAAAGATGGCTCACTCTGTATTTGCTCAGTGACAGAAAGACAGGAGCTTACAAAGTCTCCAGGGGACTCTCTGATACACTAGTGTCCTTGGGCATGCACATCCTTCTGTTGTGGCCTCAAGTGGGCCTCCTAGAAAATTAAGAGCAAAAGAGAAAAAAATGATCCTCCCTTTTTTGCAAGTCAGCAGCAATCAATTTCCTTTAATAGATAGACATCCATCAGGTTTTACATACTTTATCCATGATAGTATGTTAGATATTTTTGAGAATGTTCAAGTTAACGAGACAGGATTCCTGCCCTCCCTCAATCTTAGCATTTCATTAGGGGAGCCCATCATTCTAGTGCCCACAGTGTGAACTGGCTGTACTTTCCCATGTGTGCAAAATGTAAACTTTTATTTTCTTTTGCCTTGGCATATTCTTGGACTTTTGTAGGACAGGGAAGAATCTAGCATAAAACAGGGCTCTGGAAGTTAAGTATTTCAGATACAGTAACCCTAAATAGCAGGTGCAGATAGGATATATTTTATTTGCACTTCCATTTGGTAGAGTCACACAGAAAACATCAGGAAGAATTAGGAAAGTAACTGCCTCTTCCTGTCACTTACTTGCACGTAGATAATTTCTAAACGTGTGTTGTTACACATCTCCTCTGCGATTTCCTTAGGAACAAACCTTAGATTCCTTCTAAATCATTTCCCTTAAGAGAGTTATTTTGCCACATGCTGTCACCAAGTCTCTCCTTTGATAAGATTTTCTCCTCTGTCATTCATAACTTTCCCTTTTTCAAGAGATCAGTAATTTCTCATAAGTATGACTAGAGAAAAGTCAAAGGGATTTCAAAGATTTACGATTCTAAGTATTGATAATTTACTACTGATTATAGATAGCAGGGGAGATTGTGCCTTTCTGAAGCATAAATTTATATATATACAATTAAGTTATAGCATCTTGTTGCTTCTTTACATTTATTTTAGGACCACCACTAAGTTTGAAACACTCACTTAAAAAGATAAATGAGTTGTTTTCTCGAAAGACAGGATACCACTGCTTATTAATTAATGAAAAACATATATTTACAAAAATTATACAGGCATACCTTGCCTGAAAAGTCCATTCTATGGAAGCAAGGATTTTCAAATTCTAAA